TTCTTTTTGTAAATAATTTATATAAAATTGACATTTTTTTAATACTATTATCATGTAAATGCTTTTAATCAACCAATTAATTAAATTAAGAGTTTTTGATAAGCTGAATTTATATATATATTAATGTGAAAATTTTGCCTTGATATTATTAATATTTGAATGAATTTTATGAGATTTTACATGGGTTTCATTTTTTGTGCAAAAAAAACTTAAATGCATAATAATAAGAGTTTTTCAAATTAATTGAACATCTTTTGAAAGTTGAGGGACTAAACTGCAAGAAGAAAGAGTCTTCTTTGGAACCTAAATGAATGAATCTTAAGTTTTGGGATCTAACTGCTCATCATATAAAATATGGAGGATCAGATCTGAAATTTTACCATTTAGGAAATTGCAAAAAAAGCCAGAAACCCGACATGGATGTGGTGTCAACACATAAGCCGGGTGTCGACGCTAGAGGTCAAGCGACCAAAATTAGAGTTTCTATTTCTTGTCATGTGTGGACACATAATTCAGGGTGTCGACACTATGCGTTCAACGTCCAAAATTCAAATTCACTATTTTGTTCCAAATCCTACTTCTTTTCTAATAGATTTCTTAAACTCTATAAATACCCATTCAAAAATCGACTTTAGGGCTTTGAAGAGGAGACCAAAAGGGATGCCTATATTAGATAAGATAAGAAACCCCGTTATCACATAAATAATAAATACTTTAAAAGTATATTAATCTAAATTTTATATTAGTTGATTATGGTAAAATCAGATGTCTTAAAATTTTAACTCTTGGTATTAATAAAGTCAATTTCATTTTCTTTTAATTACTTTAGTTATTTAGTTTATTCAAATAATTTAATTTCAATTGTTCAAATAAAATTAAATTTAAATAATTTTGGTTCTTAATTAGTTTATAGTCTCTATGGGATAATACTCTATTTTCATCATTATATTATTTGAATTGACTAATACACTTGTTAAAGTGGAATTAGCTCATTAAGTTTTGGTTAAATGCTAAATTTGGTCCCTCAACTTTAGTGAGTTGCACATTTTTTGTCTCTCAACAATTTTTTGCACTTTTTTGATCCCTCAACTATATGAAATGCACTCCGTTAATCCTTTCGTTAGTTTGGGCCGTTAACCTTGCTTAGGTGGCATTTTTTATATTTTTTTTTATGATGTGGAGAGCAAAACTTAAAAAGGTGATGATTTGTATAAAACTTTTGCCATGTCACATGTTACCTGGCTGAAAACGCACCAAATCCATCCAAATGGGTCCCACATCACCACTAAGAATTGTTTCTTTCCCCGTCTGTTACTGTTTTTATTCTTTTCATAAACGGTGTTCTTTTCATTTTCCATTTTCAAGATTGAAGTTCGACAGAACAGAACCCAGCAAATACGTTCCACTCAGCTCGATTCACTAAGCTCAATTGTTCAAAAATCCCTGCAATTTGAATAATCTCTTAGCAAACAATCATATAACCAAAAAAAAAAAAAATCAATTGCCCAAAAATCCCTCACAACAACCTGCAATTCGGATAATCTCTTGGCAAACAATC